GCGGGGGGGCCCCGCGCCCCCCCTGGGAGGAGCAGGTCAGTCCACCACCGTGTCTCAGCAGGTGGGACCGATGTGGGGTGAAGGCGTACCTGTACGTGGGGTGTGAGTGCCTCTTGGGCTTTGTCCAGCCCCGCGCTCCTGCGGGGTTGCTATTCCCAGAAGCGCCGGGGTATTTAAAGAGAGTAAAGGAACCGCTGCCGCTGGAGCAGAGCGGGGATACCCCGAGGCGGCAGCGCCAGCCGTCGCTGTGGGGGGAGGGAGGAGGGTCGCGGGGTATCACAGGCGCTCCTGGGGTCGCTTCTCCGTCTCGGGGTGGTGAGCGGCTGCGTTGGGTGCCGGGGGGGGGCGCCCCGTCAGCTCGGTCGGATGCTGCGGGTCGGGAGAGGGTGTGCAGACCTGAAGTTGTGTGAGGAATAATGAGCTCCTTTGGATCAGCCTTGGATACAGGCACTCTGGTTATAAGTAAAGTGGGAATGAAAAATAAAGCCCAGTGCTCAGCTTCATTGCCTCTTCTTCATTTTGTTACACGGGAAATATCTTTACATCTTTGTAAACCTTTTTTTTAAAGGCACATCGGTGTTCTAAACCCTGCGATGTTAAGGCAGCCAAAAGCGTACAGTGATGGGAATAGTGTGAATCACCTGTCAAATGTTATTTCAGCCAGAACGTGAACACCCACACAGCATTCCCTGCGGGAAGGACTCTGTCCGTTTGCGCACACAGTGGTCACCTCTGGGCTGAGCTGCCTGCGGGGGGGTGCCCAGCCGTTGCCCGGACAGCTGGAAGGAAATTAAAGGCAAAAAAAAAAAAATTCAACAAAACATCACAGAAAGCTCAAGAGTGTGCTGCAGTCTTCCCCCGGGTGTTTTGGGGTTGGTTTGGTGGTTTGGCCTCGGCTGGCAGCGTAGTGCTTGCAGGGTTTGTGATAAACTGCGCTGAGCCGCAGCGCTGACCGCAGAGCGCCCTGTCTGAATTGGGGGGGAGCCCAGTCCTCAGCATCCCGGGAGAGACGCGGACCCCATGGGCTGGGTGCTGTGCTCTCAGCACTCACCCCATTGAGCCCCACAAAGTGTGCAGTGACAACCTCCCCTTTGAGTGTTGGCCACCAAGGATGGTAGCTTAAGAGGTGCGTGGTGTGCATCAAGCCCAGAAGAGACCACGGTGGGTGGCTTGGGCACGACTGCAGGGTGGGGGATGCTGGTCTGGACCTCGACCATCTGTCGCTGAACGCCTGAGGGTGGGGACCCTCATCCTGTGCCTCTGGGCAGAGGGGGGGAGGATGCTCCCGGCTCCCCACGGCTGGCACGTCTGCTGTCTCTGGGCAGCAGTGGGGCGAGAGCCCTTTAACGGTGGGATCTCCAATGGACCCCTCTCGTGCGGTCCCCTGCCTGGCGAGGTGAGGGGATGCCCCTTCCACCACTGCCGGGGTTAAAAACCAACAGAGCCTCACAGGGAGGCGGTGGAGAAGAGGTGGTTCTTGTTTTCTCCACTGTAGAAGAATGTGCGTGGTGGGACCTTGGGTAAATGTCAGAGCGGGGGCATGGGGAGGGGACGGGGTTTCGGGGGGAGCGCTGGCACCCCAGCATGGCAGTGGGGGGAGGCATAATGCCAAGACTGGTGCCTGTCTCCAGGTCCAGCACTGCATTACTGTCCAGCATGGTGGCGGGGGGCCCTCCCCTCGTCCTGAGCCGTCCCCCCAGGGCTGTGAGGGCAGCGCTGGGTGGGACGGTCTCTGAGAGAGGTCAAGTCCAGCATATGTCCAAGGATTGTCCTCAATGAGAGTGTCTGCATCGGGTTTCTCTCACTGTGGCATCAACTTCCTACAGAGTCCATCTCCATTACCACTGTCCTCCATCACTGATGGCTTTATTTGGCTACTTGGAAAAAAGATACCACTGTAACATGTTCTGGTTTGGGTTTTGATTTTGTGATCTATAAATTGTACTTCTCCTCTGAAGTCCATGTTTCAGCAGACACGTGCTTGCTTCAGGCTGTTTGGACTGTTGGCATCCGCTGCGCCTTTCAGGGGTTTCTGCGGCTTGTAAAATACTGTCTGCTAAAAAAATCACTGCAATTAAACAGCTTAACAAAATCCTGTGCCTCTCAAGTGTCAGGAGCAAAACCGTGAAATTAATGCATCTAACAGCTCAAAACATATGTGAGTCTTTAGTTTTGATATTAAAATTGAAATTCAGCGTAAGTGTGAAAAGATACTCACCCCAAGTGAAGACATTACACTGTGTTGTGCTATGGTTTATCGTCTGGAACGAAGGAGGTGGCTGTGGCTGCCTTCTGTGGGTCACGAGCTCCGGTTTTCACGGGAGTTACATTTACAGGGACGTGTCGGCCGGTCTAATTGAGAGCCATCGGCGAGCAAGGTACGGAGGGTCTGTCCAGAAAACTCATAAAAATGGCGGTGTTTCCCAGGGTTACTGTGTACGGCAGGAACAGACGAAGGGCAAAGCCTTTGTTGTGCGGCTGTTTGAAAAGCACCTCGTGCCACAGCTCTGTCCCGTCCA